TATTTCCATTGCTTATCTTTAATGTTTTTATAGCAGCAATTATATACGTATCATTCATAGTCTCGTGCAGAGGGAAGAAGGAATGCAGGGATGTCCAGTTCTGATACGTTTTTCCACAGGAGAAGTGATGACATCATTTACTAGAACAGACACTGCTATATGTTGAGTAGGGGGTATGTGCTGCCTATGACTTGCCCAACTTTTAAGTAAAATAAATATTTACAATGAATTTCTTAGGACAATCAGAAAATATAAATCCATGTCTTCCCAGCTATAAACTCACATGCATTGTACACCTTTGTGACATTTTTTTTCCTTCAGTCATGTTCAATTCTCAGAGATGCCAAACCACTGCAGTTTTCTTGATAAGGCAACATATATACTTACACTATTTCTCATGGATCAATACAGAGGCCTCCATTTTTATATTCCACACAGGGATCCCATCTCTTTGCCTGTAGACCCTTCTTGAAGTCTGTCTCTGGGTAGTTGATTTTTGTTAAAACAAAGACTCCCTTGAATCAAAATTAAATCCAGGTGACTTCATGAACAAGTCCATGTTGTTTACTTTAATACAATATGGAAGTAGGATACTATGGCCTTCTTCCAGGAAGTTTTTTTCAACTTTCTATTCCAGCTCACAATTCTTGGAGTGTTCTATTGGGTAAAATTTGATGAGCATATATTCATTCTAAAACTAAATACAAGCACAGGTTTCAGAATTAGGTGGAGCTTAAATCTCAACCTCACTAAAATGAAGATTTGTACTGTTTTGAAATACAAGAAGCCAATGCCCATGAGAATTAGGGAAATATGTCAATCATAGTGAATATAAGTAACTCATGTGGTTGACCATCATGCCTTTTTCATCAATATATTTGTCACCTCACTTTATTCCACTATATCCTCTTGGACCACCAAATGACAATAAGCACTACCAAGAAATATATATATACTTTTTCCAGTTCTTTCAAGTCAGTGGGAGATTTAATTTGGATCCAATGAAAATAACATGTGTGGTATGAAGATGGAATTAGATACCATTCATTCCTGAAACAACGTTCTCTGTTTTATTCTGCCCCTTGTGCTTTTCTGATGACACTGCCCTATTATTTAGCTCTGCAATACCACAACTGAAATGTGGGTTTTTTTCTCTTTCCAGAAAACTGCTCAACTAAGGAATCACAAACACAAGTAGAATAGGAAAAAGGAAGACGGATGGACAGAATTCGGGTTCTGGGAGATAAAAGAGAACCCCTCTTTTGGTTGACCATCCTGATTAGTAAGGATTTACAAGGCAGTTTCTACATAGGTTTCTTTTTCTTTTGGAGATGGATAAATGGTAATCAAACGAGGGGTACTAAGGAATGGCAGTTATGTGCTAAGGGATAAAAGCCCCTTTTCCATAAAAACTAGTCAGCCGTGATGATTTTTTTTCTCCTGTAGTAGGGAAAGATTATTTTGGTTGACTGACTCTTGATTGAAAAAAGTTGTCAGTTGAAAGAGGTCAGTCGGTAAGTAAGTAGGGAGGGAGATAGGTAGGGAGAGAGAGAGAGAGAGAGGAAGTGAGAGAGAGAGAGAGAACCTTATTGTCGTTTTTTATTGCGGGCACACTGGCACACATTAAAAATGAAATTGTTGCCTGCTCTCAAAAGTGTACACATACATAACACACATATACACATGCTATATACATATATAGCAGAGGTGGGTTCTACTTACCTTTACTACCAGTTCGCATCGTGCCAGCGTGCACTCGCTTCACTTGCACCCGTGCACACTCTTCTGCGCATGCGCAGATCACCTATGATGATGTCCGGGTCAGTGGGCAAAGCCTCCCACCGGTTGTACTACGGGTTCTTGCGAACCGGTCCGAACTAGGGGCAACCCACCACTGATACATAGATATATACCTATACCCATACATATAAAATGCATACACCCATACACTGAAGATGGAATTTAATTTCATTGTACCAGGTGCAATGACAATAAAGATATATACATACATATATATAAAATGTATATATAAAATATATATACATAAAATGTCTGACAGGTCTGAAAGTGATGAATAGAGATTTCATCCCACCATGGCCATTTTAACATCTTTCAACATAGGAAAAAACCCTGATTGCAAAAATATCGCATACATATATATATATATATATTTCTTCAACTGGGTATTTTCCTATGTAACCAAGTTTGCAGCCATAGCTCAGTGAAATCACATCCACTATCCTAGGCTTCTTCAGACAGTAAGCAAGCATTTTGCTGCCTATTGGGAGACTAATATAGATCTATTTTGGACTGATTGGTCCTCATCAGTTAGCCACACCCATAGAAAAACCTACGATAAAAGAAGAAAGCAAATACACACACACACACACACACACACACACACACACATACATACATATGATATATGATATAACATACATACATATGATATATGATATAACCTGTTGCCTGGAATGTGTGAGGCCCATTTAGGACCCAGTGCCCTTTGAAAGAGGCTTTGTTTCTGTTAGTGGTATCGGCACCCCACTCATACTAAGCAGCATTCTCAGTATCTGACTGGCTCAATAAGGAGCATAATAACTGGCCTTTAGATATATATTGCTTGAATGTTTCATGTCCATTATTGTAGATGAAGCAGAAGTTGGAAATAGATACCTAGCAGCAGGCTTAATATTTGAAGCCAGGACTTCCTCACTGACAACTTTAAGCTTTGCTAGATCTATGCCAGATCTAGCAAACAGCTGCAAAATCCATAAAATGGCTGCAGTGGCTACTTCTCCAATGAAAGGAAAACTTGAAAAATATTTAGTTCAGCTTTAATGTTTAAATCTTCATTCTGTTCTACCTAAGCTGTTAGTTGGGTTCAGATTTTTCAACAGTTGTGAGGCAGATAACTGGTTCTGCCTCAGTTTTGCATCCGTAAAATGGAATCAACCACTTTCCACGGCAGTGAACAGAAATATATGAAGTTCGAAAGCAGCCTCTGCTATGGAATACTTTAAGATTTTTCTCCTCCAATATTAGCTGCTCACAATTATGGCTAATAAGCCTATATAGTCTCATACTTGGAATAGAGAGCCTTTGATGTATGTTCCATAAATTGCTCTCTTTGAACTGAGAATTCTCTCATTTCATAAAGGTGGCCTGACATAAGCAAGTTTCAGAGAGTTTTGCAGGCAGCAAAACCTAAAAACAAGTTTCCGTTCCTGTGTCGTGGCCCTTTTCCCCCTTTGACAAAATCTGAGAGTTTTCGTTGTGCCTCTGACATACTTTTGCAAACTTAGGGTATAGAGTTTCTAAAGACCTGAAGCACCGACACCTTTCTTCAAATCACTTAATTGCTTTCATCCAAAGAACATTTTAATTCAAGGCAAGTGTTCAGTAAAAACGTTATGGAAAGAGACACAATGCCCCTTAGGGTTTGTGGTGTGTTACCTTCCCACCCCCTCCCCACCTCCACCCCCACCTTGTCTCAGATAGGTAGAAACAAAGACTTGGTTTTTTAAAAAAAAAGATACAGGAGACTTCTAAGCGTGATGAAGAAAGCGGTTTCACAGGACTGCTAGTTGTTGTGCAGGAGATAAAGTGCCAGCAGCTCAAGTTGACAACTAATCTCTGATCTACACTCAATCTTTCAGGAAGGTGCTTTTATCCTGTCTTTCCTCAGATTTCTTCTCCCTCCCTCTTTTGCCTCAGCTCCAAATGAATTGCACACTGTGGTGACGATGTATTTGATCATGATTTATAGAGCTCTGCCTGATTCATTAAGAATTCAGGCCCTTGGGACACGGATGTTGTGGACAGGAAAGAACATAAGTCCTTAAAAGCCTGTAGATACTCAAAGGCTTCCTGTGGCCAACTTGAATTAAAGCAGAAGCTGACTGAATATTGGAGAAGATGTGGAGAGAACAGCTTCAGCAAAACATTTATGGGACATAAACATAACATCAGGATCAGATGTTATGTTCAAAATGAGAAGAGGGGCAGCTATTTATCAGTGTCACAACCTAAATCACCAGACTTGAAATTCTGGGTTTAGAAAATTTAGAACTACGCCGTCTTCGGTATGACCTAAGCATAGCTCATAAAATAATCTGCTACAATGTCCTGCCTGTAGTCAATGACTACTTCAGCTTCAACCACAGCAATACACGAGCGCACAATAGATACAAACTTAAAGTGAACCGCTCCAGACTCGTTTGCAAAAAATATGACTTCAGTAACAGAGTTGTTAATAGCCTGGAATGCACTACCAGACTCTGTGGTCTCATCCCAAAACCCCCAAAACTTTAATCTTAGACTGTCTACTGTTGATCTCACCCCATTCCTAAGAGGTCTGTAAGCGGCATGCATAAGAGCATCAACGTGTCTACCGTCCCTGTCCTAATGTTCCCTTTAATTGTATTCATTTTATGTATTCAATTCATGCTTATACTTATATATATTATCTAATATGTACTCGACAAAAAAAATTAAAAAAAATAAAAAAATAAATAGGTAGTTTTCATTGCTGTCATTATTCATGATAATACTGGCCTTCCCAATAGGCAGAGTAAAAGAGTTAAGTCAGATAGCAGAAACTAGGACATAAATTGAGGTTGGAATGGCAAGCAGGGCTAACCACATCTGCTCTTAGTATATTAATATACTAATATGATATCAGGTACATTAATATATATTTGTTTGTTCTATGGTTCTGCTGCCTCTCCAGTTAACTTCTGTGTATGGAATTTTTAAGATAAATAAATTTAGAAAAATCCAGACTAGTCATCATCTTGTCCTTTGCCTTCCTTAACCTGGGGAAAAATAGGGATGTATTTACCTCCTGCCCAGTCCCTAAAACACAGTCATCCAATGAAATGGATGGACAGCAGACCTAGGACAAAGAAAAGTATGTGTTTATCCAATATAGAGCAAGATAGTGGTTTCTGTATTGGACTACGATTAGTGGGTTCACATTTGCCCATTTTTTTTGCCAGTTCTACTTCACGGAAGGGTTGTGAGACTAAAATTGTGGACTGACAGGAACATGTGTGTCACCTGTATTCCTGGAGAAAAGGCAAGAATTTACTGTGAAGGTAACAACAACAACAACAACAAAAGTCACTGGAAGGTAGGGTGACCATTATCCTGGGTGCCTTAATAGTTGTGCTGTGCCCTACTTTAGTCTACAGAATTGTCTTTGAAGGCTTCTCCTGTTTGGGGTGGATATTGGATTTATCCAGCTTAAAGATCTAGAGCATCATGAGAAAAAAAAACACAAAGAAAAGTTCTGCTTTTTTTTTAAAAAAAATGGACAGATTTGTATTGGAGCCAGGATAAAGGAAAACTGAGCTTCCCTTCTTCTCGTTTGTGCACACACTCTATCCGACTTTGTCCATTTTCAAGTGCTGTAAGAGAAAAATAAAGGGAGGGACAACAGACCCATTTTGAACCTATTTCAGATTCCCATTTCTCTGTAAAGACCATCTGAAGGAGATAACCATCTGGGTTTGAAGAATGTAATAAATATACCATGGTTTCATGCTGTAGTTTTAGGGTTAGGGTTAGGGTTAACCCTCCTGCCATAATTGAGATCTTTGTTCCACACTTTCAATTTTCAACCTAGATCTTCTGTAAATTAAATTTGATGATCCAGCTGGTTAACCCAATGAGTTGTGGGCTTCAGGCAAAGTCAGCCAGCTGACTTCATATGCTAAGGTAGGAATAGAACTTCTGGCCTCCCAGTAGTGGCTTAACCACTACTGTATGCCAAACTGGCTCTCATTCTGAAGTTACAAGAGTGAAAATAAGGGTTGTATCGATGTGCCCCAAACATTAAAATGGGGGGGGGGGATGCCACATCAATACTTCTTGCAGGTTTTGAAACATGTAGGGTGCTATTGGCTTACCAATAGTCATTTTTTAAAGCTAGATGAATTTTCTGCTTTAAGACATTTCCTACCACCCACATTTATATATGTATATATGAGTTCTTGGGTGGGGACGAGACTTCTTTCAGAACAACTTAATGACAATTCAACTTAATAACTTCCTGCTTTAAAAAAAAAAATCAGTGATGGATTTAGCATTGGCAATAACATGGCAGAAGTCATTTCCTTGGGGAACTGTCAAAATGAAAACACAGAGTTCAAATATTTAAGCGCTTTGATTCAGAGACTTGCCTTATATCGCATATTGACAGCTTAGTAAGATATATTAGGCTGTATCTGCTGACTAGAAACAGAATTTGTCAAATGAGGTATTTTAAGAAGGGTTAGGACATTTCAAAGAAGACATAAAAAGCACACATACTGTGTGAGGAAATAGAATAATGTTGTAATTGGTAATGAGAATGAAGAAAGGTATGAAACATATTACTGCAGCCACTCTTCATCTTCATAAAAATGATGTTAACAGCTTAGACATATGCATGGTTAATTTCTCCTAACCCTGTCAACATTTGAAACCAGGCATGACTCTTTCTTTCTTTCTTTCTTTCTTTTTTTTAGTTTTGGCAAGGATTTTATTTAAATGTTTTAATTTTTTTCATGTACCTCCTTAGTTTTCTTTTGTATAATCAATCAGGGTAAACTATGGTTTGCTTCTGTCTGTTGGGATGATGCAGAAATATAGACCCCAAAATGTTGTGTGTAAAAATACATTCAATCGTCAAAAGACCAGTAATTGGGGGGGTAGAGCTGAGGCCACCCAGAGATTCATAAACTGTAAATCACGCCGTTTCTTAATAGACGCACCAAACATGATAAATAATCACATGGATACCATCCCACAAAAATTCCAATCTAGGAGAGCATCTTCTCCGACCTGGGATACTCCATTTTCTCTATCTAGCTATGGTCCAAGAAAAAAATGTCTTGTGGAAAATAAATTGTATGGCAATGCAGTGCCATTTATCTCAGTTCCCAAAGTCCTGATTTTTAAAAAAAAAAATATTTTTATCTGCTAGCAGTCTTGAGCATCCTTAGAGAACAGAAAAGATGGCTATAACTGGGACAAACAAATGAATCACTATGATAAAATAGGAGACATAAAATGATTTGCCTCCTCCAATGAGCTCCAGTAAATCTAAAAGCAGGAGAATACATGAGAGGTTTTGTAAAGACCTGAGTTCAGTGTTGCTTTGCATGAATATCACAAAATTCTTCAGAATTCTATTTCATCCAGTGCCATTCAGCAGGAAGATAGAGCCCATCAAACTCTTGGCAATTGTACTTGGGTGCAGAGTTTGAAACTCTTTGATTTCACACTCATTCCTTCCGAAAGGCTAACAAACTATATTGTAGATTAAACACTGCAATGCTCTAATACAATTTGCTCCATTTGGTGCCCTTCCATCATCCCCCAGCCTGTGAGTTACAGTCCGACACATCTCAAGAGCGATGCAGGGAAAAGGCACTTCTAAGAAACTGAGGAGAGAGAACTCTGCTAATCATAATGTCAAGATGAATTGTTGAGCCTTGAGGCCATGAATTTCATCTTGGCTTGGAAAGATCAGGTTTGAAGTATGATACATCTAACGCTGCAGCCAAATTAAGCTTTTAGTTATCTTGGCCCCTACTTCCTCTTGGTATCAGGACTTCATATCCTAGATACTATAAAGTTGCACCGGGGGGTGGAGGATATCTTTCCACCCAGATGTTTCAGGATTCAGGACCGCAATTGTTGAGGAGAGGTATTTTAGCTGCTACATTGCCTGTTTTCTTTTTCTTATTGCTCTTATAGAATGTGTATTTTGTTAGAGTTTTTCGATAGGCATTAACAAGCCCATGCCAAGTAGTTTGATATCAGTATGACACATCAGTGGCTTTCTATCAAGTCCTCCAGCTAATGTTAGAGCCCTATCTGACCCAAGATTGGATCCAGTCATGCTTCAACCCATATGACATCAATAAGACAGCATATTGTTCAGTGATTTAATTTACTGTTGTATTTTCACACTGGAAAAAGACATGTGGTGGAATTTTCTGCCTGAGGTTTCAAAATAATTTGGCTTATATTGAGAGTGGTATATCGTGACTTGGTGGGTCAGCATGAATGAGAGTATTTGCTCTTTGGCGTCAGGCAAAGCATATGACCTTGAGCCAACTTGGGTAGCATTTAAAAAAAAAAAAAAACTGATAGTGTGTATGAGTATGAGATATAAACATCAGGTGGTTTTTACTCTCATAAGGGCCCCAAATTGGAAAAGAAAAGAGAAAGAGAAAAGAACTATAAGTTCTGGGTAAAGATTTGGTTTTTCAGAAGTTACTTTGCAGGCAGACTTTTCAGATACTTCGATGTTTTCAAAACTGCTGTGCTTCTTTTACCTTTCAGAAATGTTGCTCAAGGGAACATAAGCTGTGAATCCATATTAAAGACAATTTTCCTTTACTGGGTCCCTTCACAATTTTCCTTGACATCTGCATGGCATCTGATTACACCAAAACTCAGCTAGAGAGTACCATGATCAAGCAGGGAGCTAAACATCAGGCCCTGGTGAAGTGGCTTAGTTTGTCCTTGTTTGAGGCAAAGAGATAACACTATTGGCTCAAGAAGACATTTTCTGTGGCCTCAACTTCTCTAACAAGTTTCTTCTTACGACCACAATTGAGTCCCACAGCTTATGTTGCTAAGCGGGACAGTTGTTAAGTGACTTTTGCCCCATTTTACAAGCTTTCTTATCCCAGTTATTAAGTGAATTGTTGTTAAATCAATATTTATTAAGTCAATAACACAGGTTGTTAAATCATTCCAGCTTCTCCATTGACTTTGCTCATCAGAAGGTCCGCAAAAGGGGATCACATGATCCCTGGACATTGCAACCATCATAAGTATGAACCAGTTGCCAAGTGTCTGAATTTTGATCATGTAACCATGAGGATGCTGCAACAGTTCTTAAGTATAAAAAACAGTCACAAGTCACTTTTTTTCAATGCCATTGTAACTTTGAATGATCACTAAATGAACAGTTGTATGTCAAGGACTACCTGCAGTTATCTTTTATCTCTTAAAGGTTTCAGTGGAATTATTGAAAGTTTCAGTGGAATTATTGATATGGATGTAATTGTCTTCATTTCAATTTTGTGGTCTATGATTATTTGGAATTTTATTTGGAATCTGAATTTGATCTATGACCAAAATCAAGTTTTTTTTATTGTTGTTTTCTTGCTCTCTGGAGCTCTGTATACAGCTACAGCATGTAGCTGTATACAGTAACAAGGGGTCCTCAACCCCTGGGCTGTAACCCATTCCGAAAAGGGCCATGGAAGTGGCAGGCAATCATTTGCGCAGCTCCAGTTGTGTGAGCAGTGGGCACATGCACCTGCCACTCACACAAATGGAGCTGCACGCACACATCACCTGCTGCTTGTGTGGAACCATCCCCTCTCCTTCCCTGCCTGCTGGTCCATAAAGCCAGAAGGTTTGGGGACCACTGCTGTATAAGACAACTTCACTTGAAATTTCATCAAAGCAATGCCCACCTTGAAAATCTAGGTAGTCCTAGTACTCAGTTGTTTATTTATGTCATTTCCCTACCATTGGAATCTGAATGAATTCTAGGTGGCTTACAGAATTTACAAAGTAACTACAGTACAACATCAATAATAAAAGCAAATATGAGAATCTATTGTTTAGTTCTCCAAACTGAATACTAAAGTAATAGCTAATAATTAATTTGGCAGTTGGTATGGCACTTTTAGTTATAATTACCGATAAACATGATCCTTCAGAGGTTGTGGGGGCTCCATTACTGGAGGCTTTTAAGAAGATATTGGACAACCACTTGTCTGGAATGGTATAGGAGCTCCTGCTTGAGCAGAGGATTGGACTAGAAGACATTCAAGGTCCTTTCCAACTCTGATATTCTGTTATTTGGTATTATTCATCTTATAGGAGTCCTTCATTATGTCCTTCATCCTTTATTTCAGTGAAAAAAGAAAGTAAAGTGAGGTTTTGCTAAATGAATGCACTTTAAGCTAATGAATTAACTATGCTTTTTTGGTGGGGGGAGAATCTACAACAAGGTGGCAGAACTAGTATCTTCCACATATTATCAAGCTACAGCTCCTATTTCCAAACAGTTCCCAAACTATTAGACATGCTAATCATGGGTGATAGAAGTTAAATAGA